ATAATCCAAACCTGGGTCAAGATGGGGTCACATACAAGAGACCCCACCACCCCCGTCCAGCTGTTTGGTCTTTAAGAGCAATCATCAGAACCTTGATTTATTAAATCAGAACCTTAAATCCTTCAAGTTGTATTTAATGGATGGTGCTGCTGTGGCTATGCTGGGTCATCCTAATGAATACATAATATCTATAATAAAGTATTAACTGGTGCCTACTAGTCCTCACTGGCATCTTGAACTTAGGGTATCATTGGCCCTTACTCATTCACAAGTGAGGAAACAGGCTGAGTGACCTTACATGCTTTGCCCAAATTCACCCAGTTATTAAGCAAAAGAGTTTGAACTTGAACCCAGTCTTAACTGACTCTAACCCCTATGTATCTCCCTTTCTAGGTCCAATTTCTCCTTGACTGACAAACTCAAGGGTATGTCTTCATATCCTTAAATCCCAAACCTCCCTGAGAGATAATTTCCTAAAGGTGAACCGTCCTAATAATGCTGAAGTTTGTTTCCAGGAGGCGAATCTCCGCCTTCATAGCGGGCTCCGTCCCACCACCTTCCCTACTCCAGGATGCATTTGATGATGCCCTGTTCAGAGCTCATCTACCTGTCAAAAGATACTTTGCCATTTAACCCTAAGGATAGTTAACATCCCCCTGCCTCCCCTTCCCCGGTGATGTCAGGTGCTCTCAGAAATGGAAATGCAGGCTCTCCCTCGTGCTGGTCTCCTAGCTCAGCAGCTGTCGCTGAGCAAACGTCTCCTTGGAGCTGCAGAGACGAAGCTGCGAGGCCACCGACAGGCCCGCTCTCCTCTCTCCTGTGCTCATCAGTGCTCTCGCTGGTGGTGCCGCGCCTTCTGGAGTTGTTTTAGTTTTGTAAAATGTTCACGGGAACTTCGATGGTCTCAGAGGAAATGCTTTCCTTAAGTCGCTAGTTCTACAGGGAGGCAGGCAAATTCCCAGCCATCTGGCAGTCAGTTTCTGTTCTGTCTGAGACAGAGAGGGAGTTTCAGAGGCCTGAAGAGGGCATGCCCAAATATGTCTTGCTTCTATTTTTCAACGTGGAATTTGGAGCCATGTCTGTCAGCTATCATGACATGTCTGTAGGAAACTCTAAATGGGAGACAACAGCCCCAAGCAAGCCACACGCTGTCTTTTGGAATTAAATGTCCTTTCCTGTTTCTTAAAGTCCAAAATTCTGATTCATCTTCCATCTACCCTCGGTGACTTCCATTCTTTGAACTTCTTGATTTTGTCCTTAACTTGGACATGAATTTGACACCCACCTGATGCTGTCTGGGATTCAGAAAGTGCATGGTCCTTACCAGTTCTAAAATGTCACAGTTTCTGTTAAAAAATGCTTCTAGCTCCTGCCAAAGGGAATGCATACATTGGTCTCTCCTGGGTGTGCTATGAGCCGCAGGCATAAAGAGCCTTCTGGTTTGCAAATGGACTGCTGGCCTTTTCACTGGGAAGTTTAGTCATCTTCATCCACATGCTTTCCAGGGAATTTCAGGGCCTGGGGTATCATCATCTGGCCCTGGTCCTTGTCCCCTGTCCCCCAAGACTGCACCTCCTCCCCAGCCGTCTCCTCAGCACCATGGGTGTTTACACAACTCTGCCTCCATATTTTTCTGGAGTGTCTCCCTCAGGGCCATCTCCAGTCTCCCACCTTCCTGCCCACTGGCCCCCAGAGGCTCCCCATTTATGAACTACATTCAGTCTATTTCAGCCTTACATTTGGGACCTTTCAAAGATAATGTTGGTAGCCAGCTTTATCTGCAGGAAACCCCATACCTTTGAAAATTAAAAAACACATTTTAACTCATGAGTCAAAGAAAAATCAAACTAGGAATTGGTAAAAATTTAGAACTAAGTCATCATAAAAATTCTTATCAGACTAGTGGGATCTCGATAGCTACGGCAGAAGTAGGGGGAAGACTGTAGCCTCACTGCTTATGTCGGTGACAAGGGAAGTCTACGAAGTAATAAACTGAACATTCAACTCAAGAAGTTAAAAAAGCAAAAGTGAATTAACCCAAAGAAAGAATGAGGGAAATAACAAAAATGAGTAAAAATTAATGAAAGAAAAACCTTTCTACATTAGAGAGAGTCCCCAAAAACCAAAATTGTCTCTCTCTCTTCTTTTTTTTTTTTTGAGAGAGTAATAAAAACTACTGGCAAAATTGATGAACAAAAAAGAGAGAAGACTCCGATAACCAGTGTCAGGAATGAAAAAGAGTGCTCCCTGCAGATGCTGCAGACGCTGCAGACTTAAACAGAGGTAAAGACAGGACATTATTGACAACTTTATGCTGATTATTTTGAATATTTGGCAAAGTTCACACATTCCTAGAAAAATGTCATTTCCAAAAGAAATGCAAGAAGAAATACAAAACCTGAATAGCCCAATAACCAGGATATAAACTGAATCATCCATTAAATTCTAATCATTGAAGAAAGTATCTGACTTAGATGGTTTCACAGGGAGTTCTACAAAATGACCAGGAAATGAATCACTCCTCTCTTACACAAACTATTCCAGAGTGTAGAAAAAGAAGGAACACTTGCCATTTTATGAATCAGATATATATTCTTGAAACTAAAAATGGACAGCCACAAACCAAAAATGCAAATTTTTTAAAATGTGTAATTTACAGTTACAAAAAAAAAAAAAAGGTATAAGCCATGGAGAAAAGAAAACTAACAAAAGGCACACCAAACAAGCTGTATTACAAAACTTTAAAGACATTACAGAAGACAAAAGTAGAAATGTATCAACACACCAATTTCATGGACAAGAACACAATATCCTAATACAAAGATGTTCTTTCTCTCCAAACTGATATGTAGATTAACACAATTAACATCAAACTCCAAAAATACTTTGGTTCAGTTTTAAAATGATTATAAGCTTTATTTGAAAGAGCAAACAGTCAAGAAACATAAGACATTCCTGAAGGAGAGAAAAAGGGAAGGTGAGGGAACTCAGGCTGCCAGATAACAAGGATTAGAAAGCAGTAGTAATTAAGATACCATCGTACTGTCACAGGGATAGGCAAACAGACCACTGGAACAGAACCAGAGCGCCCCCCAACAAACCCATAAATATAAGAAAACTTGACATATGGCAAAATCGATACTGCAGATCAGTGGGGGAAAGAGGATGCACTAGTCAATAAATTTTGCTGGAACAACTGAAAAATAAAAATGGAAGCCTAACCTACACAGAAATCAATTCTAATTCTAAATGGACAAAGAATTTAAAAATCAAAAGCAAAACTTTAAAAGTTTTTGAATAGGACACCAGGGAATATCTCTATGTTATTAGGGTAAGGAAGGATTTCTTAAACAAGATATAGAAAGTGAAAATCATAAAGGAAAGTATTCATAAATTCAACTACCTTAAAGCAAGAACATCTCTTCTTCAAAATGCATGATAAAGAGGGAAAAGAGCCACAAACTGGGAAATGATTTATATAAACTTACTACCAACAAAAGTTAGTGTCTAAAATATATGAAGAGTTCCTACAAACCAATAAGAAAAGAAAAACAAATCAGTTGAAAAATGGAATCAGTTATACTTCAATAAAAGGAAAAAAGAAAAAGAAAAATGGGCAAAAAGCAAGCACAGGCATTTTACAAGAGAACATAAATGACCAAAACAGTGAATATGTGAAAGCATGCTCAATCTCAGTAATTAAAAAAAAAACTAAAGTTAAAAAAACCATATGAGATAATATTTCACACCCACCAGGTTAGCAAAAATTAGCTGGATGATATCAAGTGCTAGAGAAGATATGAAGCAAGAGAAAGGCTCATATACTGGCAATGGATGTGAAAAGGACAGCACATCGGAATTGCATGATAAGATTAAACACGTGCGTGCCCTATAGCCCAGCAATTCCGCTCCTACATTTAGACCCTAGAGAATGTTGAGATATATATGCCCCATATGTGTATGGTAAACTAAAGAAAAGCAAGGAGTAGTTAGCACACAAGCAGAACAAGATAGCAGATACCTCTGGAGGGAGGAATGGATCCACGGAGTGTGAGGAGCTCATACAATGAGCTTCAAAAGTACTGGTGATGTCTTTCTTACATTGAGTTATGAACATATGTGAACTTTTATATTGTCACCCTTTATAATAAATATTTATGTATATTACACATAATCTTATATACATATTTCATAGTAAAACAGTAAGTAAATAAATAAATTAGGTCAGAGGCTAAAGAGCTGCTGTTGGAACCCACAAAACGGAACCAGTAGGTTCTGAAGGGTGACTAAGAAACGTGAAGATTCCCGAGGCTCTGATCTACGGCTCAAACTAGAGAGAAGCTTCACTAGTGAGAAGAAAAGCTTTCCAGTGGGGCAGAGACTCCTACTGGTGCCCTTGGAGGTTGCTGGGAAATTTTATGGGGAATAAATGAATGATTTGAGAAGAGAAATGTGAGCAAAGGGATATTGACTTTCTTTTGTATCCAGGAAGTTCATGATTTGCACTCTGCTGATATATATATACACATATACTGTCTTTTTATAAATAAAGAGAACACTTTTATCACTTGCTTTTCAAATAAAGTCTCTTTTCCTTCACTGAGCAGGAAGCCCAGAGGTAGGTGGTGGAGAGCTTGCTCGTGGGCTTGCAATATTTTCTGAATCTGGGTTCCTTCTGTCCTTCCCTTCTGCCATTTTTAGTGTGTGGGCTGTTTGCCTCATGCAGTCCCAAACTTCTCATCTCTTTTTAATTCAGCGCGAGGGCATTTTCCTGACTCTTGTCATCAAAGTAAAGGCTTTCCTAGAACTCTCCCACAGCCTGTCACTCATATCCTAGTAACCAGAATGGTGTCACCTGGCCATTTCTTGAGCAAGAGAGACTGGGAGCATCATTATTTTGCCGTAGCAGCCTGTGTGATAGGAGCAGGCAGGAATGAAGCAGGGAGGGGGCAGTGGTTTCCAAAGTACCTCACTAAGAATTCTTCCTCTTTCCTCCCCAGGAGCCAGTCTGCTCGATGACCTCTATAAATACTTCTCCTTCCATCACTCCCACGGAGACACCATGACTGTCATGGATCCAAAGCAGATGAATCTTGCTGCCGCTGTCTGGGCTGTCGTCTCTTACGTCGTTGCGGACTTGGAAGACATGCTGCCCAGGTCTTAGTAGGAACAAGAGCGAAGGCCCCTTTGTCCTTTCTGACCAGGAATCCTGGGCCTGCAGTTTCAGGAGCCCTCTCTTCACCTAACAACTTTATCTGATCATTTACAAAGCATAACACTGTTTCATATTTTTCTGATATCATCTTTCTTGATACTTTCCAAATTCTCTGTTCCTAGTTTAAGGAGTGATCTCCATCCCCACATAGAATCAACATACGGTTGGGATCACAGTGGAGGTATTTCTTTATGCCACATATAAGAATATTGTTTCTACTTTGAGAGTAAACACTGGATAAATCTTTGGAATCCCTCTGGCTTTTATGCATGTATTTTGGAACATTAAATCAAATACAGTAATGCCAATTTTTTTTGGTTTTATGTTATTCATTGAAGGAGTAGAGGAATACACAATTGTAGTATGGTTTTAATTGAACATATGGAGGCATCTGGCTTTCTAATTTGTACATTTTTATATTATTAGAATTTTTTTAAATGAGATATGGAATTTTAATTAACAGAAAAAAGGGATGACACCCTTTGGGGAAAAAAATCACGTATGTATAATCCAATTGCCTTATTAAAACTCTGTCACTGGACAAATGATAAGACTATTTTTCATTTATGTTTTATATAGTTCACATAATATTTCTGTGAAGTTGGGGCTTATTCACATTTTGCCAATAACAAGATTGAGGCTCAGAGAGGCTACTATGGAGCAAAATTTTCATCCCCATCCACGCTGGAAATAATCTCTACAGCTCTTCCACACACAGTGTCCAGTATTCAATTTTAAAAGTTACAAGACACATCCAAAAAATGCAAGGAAAAGTAAACTCATTGTCAAGAGCTAAAGCAATTAAGAAAACCAGACTGAGCGATAACTCAAATGTAGAACTATCAGAGCAGACTTTAACAGAGCTATGATTAGTATGTTAAGATTTAGCCAGGAAAGGGGACATGAACAGTGGGGAATGTCAACAGAGGGATGAAAACTATAAAACAGGATCAAATGCAAATGCTAAAATAAAAAATACAGCTTCAGAGACATTTCCTTGTTGGGCTCATCAGCAGACTGGATAAAGCCGAGGAAAGAATCTTGCAAACAGGTCAATAAAAACTTAAGGTACTAACTACTGTATATAAACTAGATAAACAACAAGTTTATACTGTATAGCACAGGGAACTATATTCAATATCTTGTAGTAACTTAAATATGAAAATGAATATATGTATGTTCATGTATGACTGAAGCATTATGCTGTACACCAGAAATTGATACAACATTGCAAACTGACTATACTTCAATAAAAAAATAGAGCTACAAAAAAGAAAAGAAAGAAAACAATCATAAGACCATAAAAAAAATTATCCAAACTAAAACACTAAGAGAAGAAAAAGCGAAGGAAAACAAACAAACAGCAGACTGGATCATCCAGAGTGTGATCTAATACATATGGGGTCTAACATACATATAATCAGTTACTAAGTGGTCTAATTTACATGTAACTCAGTTCCCAGAAGGAGAAGATCAAGTACCATCTCATTAAGGGTAATAATTAAGAGGGTTGCTGGCAAGGCAGCAGACTGGTACCTTGCTACTTACAATGAAAACTAAAAATGCTGGATAACATCTGAGAAGCACTTTCTTCATGAATTAACTGACAAAAGATAAAGAATATTAGACAAAAAAAAACTAAGGCATGAACCAAGAGAGATGTACAGAACATCAAACCAGCTTTCTTTTTGAGAAAACTTAGAGCATGTGGTGAACTTAAATTCTGTCTTCACAGCTTCTCATGACTGAGGGGACTATAGACAAATCCCAAAGTCTGCCACATTAGGGACACCAGAGAACCTCAGTGAAACTGGGACCCCGAAGAACTATACCTCAACACGATGGTGAACTAAAAATAACTGTGAGGACTGCAAGGAAAATTATCATCATTAAGTAAGTGCTGAGTGGAGGGTCCAGAGAAATTCCCACAAATACAGTTACAATAAATACTCGCTCATGGTCAAAAATTAAAAAACAAAGATGGGAATCATAGCATTCTGAGCAAGAGCAGTCCAAAAGAGAAAACAGCAGAATTAACTCACAGTGTCCTCTGATATTGGGATTTTTAAATTAAATTTTTCCCCTTCTATGTTTGTTATGTTTAAGGAAGTAGAAGAAGGGGCTGAAAATAGAATAGAGAGCAAAGGACTATAAAAAGTGACCAAGCATATTGGTTAAAAAAATAGAAAAATATACATATACATATACATATACATACACATACACACACACACATATATATATATAATATATACATATATATATATATAAATTCATAGACTACTGGTTGCCTCCTTGTTGCTTTCTGAAATGAGGTGTTTATGTCCTATTGGACCCATTTCTTCCATTTCCCTCAAGATCAGTGGAGAGGGACTTCTCAGAGGAACATGGCTACACTCATGACCTCCACCTCCCTTTGACTTGGAGCTACTGTGCCTTCCACTCGTCACCCTGAGCAGCATCTGCAGATCATCCTCACAGATGTGGGAGCTCAAATGAGTCCCACGTTGTATTGTCCATTTATTGTCACCACCATCCTCCTCACTCACCCCAGAACTTTAAAGTCCAAAGCAAGCTTGAAAGAGAGAAGCTGTCACAAAGTTGTGATCTAGCTGCAAATTCCCGCCAGCTGGCAAGGCTGTCATGTTCTGCCACACCGACCACCCCCTCGCTCACTGCACCCACCTAGTCCCTCTGGGACACTAAACCCTTTCTCCACCTCCATCTTCTGCACAGGGTTTAGGGTTGTACCTTCATGGCCTACAGCCTAGAAATGTCTCTGGGGAAGTGATCTTATTCCATCTCTTGGCCTTTCCCCATAAAGTTGTCTATTTCCCTGGGGGAAAAAAAAAAGTAATTGCATGGGGCCAAATGAATGCAGAAGCGGCCCATTTCCTAACTGAGCCCCCTACGGCTACCTTACTGGAGGAGTATGAAGGAGCTGGGTTGGGGGACGGGGTGAACATGTGGGTGGCAGAGTGCGCTGGTGAGTTCAGTTATCAAGTAGCACGAATAGAATAGGAATTATGGAGAACTACGTGGGAGCTGGAAAAATAGAGGATGGAAGAAGAATAAAGAAAGGGAGAGGTCTAGAGGGTTTTTTTCTCATGGCAATTCTACTTGTACATCCTAATAGCTGAGATCTACCAGGCTGCCATGGAGCCTGGCACGCGCTATTGAGTAACTATAGCTGTAGGCACTTTAAAGTGCAATTCTCTTATTTTCCATCAATTGTAAAAGGCACTGTTCATCTGCTAAGAAACAGTGTCTTATTGGAGTGGTGGCCTATTTCCTGTGTGCGTAGCAGCTTTCCAATTTGACTTTAGGGTCAAGTTGCTTTTCTGATTCATTTGGCTGAGTACACTGAAGTGCAAATTGAAAAGAGAAACCCATTTAAATATTGTATAATGTGAAAAGGGTGAATTCTGTAACAGGAAAAGGAGAAGATTAGCGGGGAAAGGAGGTCGATTGCTGATTTTGTCCTTGACATTATTAAGATATGGTTTTGAGGGTTCTGGTGTGTCTGTGAATGATTTGGAGTTGAAGTTCCCCAGAGTGTTCCCAACTTCCTCAAACTAATTACACTAATGATACCAAGAGTGTTTTGAAAAGCCTCCCGCGTCCACCCTGCACACATTTTGTTGCCACGCAGGCCTATTTGCTCAGTATGCTCCCCTCATAATAACTTCGGGTGCCTCCCCTTTACCTTGAGTAAATATCAAACAGATCTTGATATCTATATCTGTCTCATGAAATATACATCCTTGCTAACTGTGCCCAAATGATTAATTTACTGCTATGTGATGATTAGCATAAAAACCTCATCACAACACGAGATAGAAATGTTATCAACTAATTGCCATTTGAAGTGAGGAATGTTTTTGCATAGAAATTAATGATGCATGCTTACTTCTTAATTCTCTGTTAAACCAGAAAACCCAAGACTGTTTTCAGAACAGAAAGAAATTATCTTTGAAGTTTTGGGGTTTTTTGTTTTTTTTTCTTCTCTCTCCCTTAGATGATCCCCAGTTCAGCAGAGAAATGGTTGGGAAGCAATGGTTAATGGAGTTCTGTACACAAAGTGAGACAGGTGAACTTAGCTGTCACCAAATCAGGTCTTCCAACCAATCAATTACACAACTTCAGGCAAAACCCTTTTCCCTGGACATTAGAGCCTCCCCGTGGACAGATAAACACACATATATATGCAGCATATCCTAAGTGTGTGCAAGTCCTTTGGAGAATCTGACGTTCTTATTGTCATCGGTGGTCATTCCAGGTCTGCTCAAGCAGCCGCACAACTACCTATGTGTTTGATGGTACTTCAGAAGGCCTTGTTCTATTTTCCATCTTTAAAGAACATTTTGCTGTTCCTTAGATCTTGATGATAAAGTCATGCCCTAACCCAATGAGTCCTCTTAATTCTGAGTACTGACCAGTCTATCCCAGATTGTAATGGAACATGAATTTTCTCCAAGCTCTGCCTTGCCATTCAAATCATCATCACCATTATCACTGATACCCACCCAGGGCCAGTTACTCTGCTAGGAAATTTATATGCATTTTCTCATTTAATCCTCACCCAACGCAACGAGGTCAGTCCTATTTTAATCTCCATTTTAGAGATGAGAAAACCTCTCATGTGGCTCATAAATTACTTCTCCATGGTCACAGAACTGATCAAATGTGGCTGCAATCTAGAAAATTCAAACCTGAATATCCTCCTCAGACAAACATAAATCCTCTGGACAGCGACCCCTCTAGCCTTCACTGTGTGGCTGGATTCAGTCTAATTGGTTCATTTTGATTTCGAGGACTAGAAAGTGGGGCTTGAAAAATGCCATGCTGTGGCCCGGGTAGGAGGGGCTTAGTGCTTCTGGAAGACCCCACATATCACAAACACACACCAGCAACACGTTTGCTGAGGGATATACGGGTGCTCCTGTCACCAGCGATCTGATGCTCAGAGCCGGCGCAGCAAGACTCAGGGTCCAGGCTCCCACCCCCAAGAAACACTGCCCCGCAGGCCCTGCCTTTGAGGGACACTGGATCTGAACGTGGTCACACGGACTCTGCCTCAGAGCACGAGGAAGGTCTGAGGAGCTAAAGGACTCAAGAAGAGAAGACCAATTCACTCACTTGTCAAATCCTCCCTCTCCGAGAGTAAAAAGGCAACCATTCTTGCATAACAAGGTGTTGTTTCCCAGAAGCGTTGAGCACCTATTTTTCTTGATTCTCATCATGTTCCAACGTGTGGTTCTGAAGGTGCTGGTGAACAGGGTGGTGTTCACAGTAGTTGTGGTGGCATATTGCATTATTTATTATCTTCAGTATTAAATTATTTCTACTCCTCATAAATTTGATTCTCTGTTGGCTTAGGCATGACACTTTTGATGTCTAATGTCCATGGCTTAAATTGGCAACTAGGTGGGCATTTCATGCTACAGTTGCAAATAGTTTTACATTTGTAAAATTAATAACATTCGACACTTTTG